CACCTCTCTCCTGTCAGGCTTCTGTGGGTACTAGTCGCCCCTCCAAGCTGAGTTTTGGAGCGTGCCTAAACTCTGCCATCTGTTTCGTGAAACTTCCGTTCCTTTTTCTAGTTCTCAGAAGAAAGGTTGGCCCAGTTGGGAAACCTAAGGCAGCCATGCTTCTGCAGTTGCACCTGCGCATTGCCTGCTCACTTTTTAGCACGGAGAAGAGCTAAGAGCTGCCTTTTTAAAGGGAAGGGTCCAGGATTCTTAGGAATCTTAATTGCACAGCCAGCAGCAGATAAAATTGATTTCGGGAGGTAGGCCTGTTAGTCCATTGTAGCAAGTGCAGAAAGCCATTCCTGTGGTTTCTGAAAGTAATGTTTAAAGTGTCATAAAACTCTTTTTAAGAGTAGACAAGTTCAGGTTGTGAATCGCTTGCTAAAGAGACCGGTTGTTAGTATCATTCCACTTGGGCACCATAATCTGTTCTGCAATTCTCTGCTTGTCTTGGGAATACAAAGCTGAAATTTTTTTCTGCACATTTCCACCCCACCCCAACACATTTTCCCCCCATTCTGATTTAGCCAGGAACAATAGAGCAGGCTGTCAATGAGATACGTGTGGTGGTGCTGCCCACTGAAGATGGAGAAGTGCAAAGTGTATGGCTGCTGACCGAGTAAGTAACAGACCTCGTGGCCAGATTCAGTACACATTTTTATTTTCCTGCTTCATATTTTTCAAAAGAGCAAGGACATTGGTAGCTTGCTCTGATGGTTAAGAAACAAAACAGCATACATGGAGGTACTGTGACCTGTCACAGGACACTTGAAAAAAATTGTGTCGGCATCCTCAAAAAAGAGGAAGCTGATAACCTATCGAAGCATAGCTTGTAAGATGTAAAACAGTTGCTATTTAAGCATTCTGCTTTCATGGAATGCCCACTTTTAAGAACCAGACTGCCATTTTTGTAGTAGGGCAGTTAAGGGTTTCAACAAGGCCAGCAGTGGTCACTTTTGAAATGTCCTACAAAATCGTTTTGCTTACTGCAAAGCACCACCATGGCCAGTTAGTCTTGGTCCTGTTGTGTTGTTTCTGTGTTACATGGGTGTGCACGGTTACCCATCACCCAAATACATTGGAGATTTATCAAATGCTACAATGACAGCTGTTTTCTCTTGGGTGTTTTGGAAAGCGCAGCCCTTGGTGACGTTCACCTAATGAATAGCAAGGTACAAAGATAATTGTAACCTTTGTTAAATTATTCTGCAGGATCTTAACAGAGCAAGGACATTGGTAGCTTAGACTGTAGACCGTGCTCTGATGGTTAAGAAACAAAGCAGCATACATGGAGGTACTGTGACCTGTCACAGGACACTTGAAAAAAATTGTGTCGGCATCCTCAAAAAAGAGGAAGCTGATAACCTATCGAAGCATAGCTTGTAAGATGTAAAACAGTTGCTATTTAAGCATTCTGCTTTCATGGAATGCCTACTTTTAAGAACCAGACTGCCATTTTTGTAGTACGGCAGTTAAGGGTTTCAACAAGGCCAGCAGTGGTCACTTTTGAAATGTCCTACAAAATCGTTTTGCTTACTGCAAAGCACCACCATGGCCAGTTAGTCTTGGTCCTGTTGTGTTGTTTCTGTGTAACATGGGTGTGCACAGTTACCCATCACCCAAATACATTGGAGATTTATCAAATGCTACAATGACAGCTGTTTTCTCTTGGGTGTTTTGGAAAGCGCAGCCCTTGGTGACGTTCACCTAATGAATAGCAAGGTACAAAGATAATTGTAACCTTTGTTAAATTATTCTGCAGGATCTTAACTTTTTTAGCATAGTAACTGAATCACAGTTTTATTATGTGTATATGGCTAGAACAAGTGATGTGCCATTATCAGGATAAGCTTATGTCTAACATTGGGATGGGTATGCATAGTATAAAGCAGGTAATTTTCTATCTAAGTAGCAGTGAGGATACCTGCTGTATCGAGATTATGATAGAAGCAATACACCATGGCTGCTCTTCTCTTCTTCCCCAGAATTGATCATTGGAACAATGAGAAGGAGCGATTGGTTCTTATCACTGATTGGTCCCTTCTGATCTGTAAATACGACTTCATCAGCCTGCAGTGCCAACAAGTGACCAGAATACTACTTAATGCAGTTGATACAATTTCAATTGGAGAATTTGAGTTTCCTCCAAAGTCACTGAATAAGTATGTTGAATAAGTATGTTGTTGGTGGGGCGGGGGAGTGGGGAATGTCTTGTGCAAAGTATATGA